GGGAAGAAGGAGATAACTTTTATTAAAATAAAGATAACAAGCCAAGACAAATTATAGATGTAGTGGAGAAAATGAAGAAGTGTGACATTCTCACCAATAAGCATGGATATTCTTACAAATTACATTCCTTATAAATCAGAGTAGTGCCAAAATAATTCCCTATGTTTTGACATAGGACAGTGTAGTGTTGGAGTATCAGAGAGAACGTTTCTCCTATCTCAAAATTTTATCACGTGCTGACGAGTACATTCATTCTCTAGTACTTCAAAAGGCCCTGGAGAAATACCCCTCCACAGGCAACAGGGAATTGAGGCTAGCTTAGAAAAAGAAATGGTTGCGACACTGGATGGGAGTAGAATTTGGTGGTAGACTTTGCTAGATCCCCAGGTGGCCCAAACAGTTAAGCAGTTGATTACTAGCCGAAATGCTGCTGTTCAAACCCACTCAGAGGCTCCTCAGAAGACAGGCCTGTTGATCTACTTCCTAAGAGTCACAACCTTGAAAACCCTATGGAGCATATCTACTTTGCATACATGGGGTTGCCATGAGTTGGAATCAACTCAACAGCAACTAACAACAATAACAGACTTTCTAGGATGGAGTAAGAGTAAGACTGAAAAAACATCAGGCCACCCCCAAATAGATAAATCATGTAATTGTTACGACACAGATTTCCTATGATTATGCTCTAAAAATTTAAAAAGGCAATAATACAAAATATTTATAAAGCAACCTTTGTTACTGAAATTCATTGAGATCCCTGTGCTTCATGTGTCTGTGCTATTTAATGACGGTGATTTTTAAAAAGAAGTTTCAGATATCCACAGTTATTTTTAATGTGTTTTGTGGTTTTTAAGGCAATTCTTTTTCTGCACTAACATGTAGTTAGAAATATGTAGTTAGAAATTCTACCATATTTGGAGTAGAAGGATGTACAAATCGAATTGATTATTTAACTATTTTGAGAGAATATATTATTCCATTTAATTTTCATGTCAAAATTATTGGGCTTATGCAGAATTTCTTGTAAAACTTTTCAGTATTGGTGATGGTTGCACAACATAAATAATGCAACTGGTGTCACTGAACTGTGCATGTAAAAAATGTTGAATTGGCAAATGTTGTGTTATATATATTTTTCACAACAATAAACATGGTTAAAATGGTAAATGAAATACCCTTTCAGTACCATGATGTACTGAAGAATTATCGGAGTCCTGGTGATGCAGTGGTTAAGAGCTTAGCTGCTAACCAAAGGGTCAGCAGTTCAAATCCACTAGCCTCTCCTTGGAAACCCTATGGGGCAGTTCTACTCTGTCCTATAGGGTTGCTATGAGTTGGAACTGACTTGATGGCAATGGGTTTGGTTTGTTTTGTTTTTTTTTGCAGTATTATTGATTATATTTGTATTATGTATTAAAGAAGTATTGATTTATATTTCGCGCGGTGGGACAGTCAGGAGTCAAGTGGGATGCAAGAGGTTCTTCTCTATGCAGGACTTCGCAGGAGAGTTTATTACATGCCAATCCTTGTGACAACCAAAGGGGGAAAAAAACCCAAACCCATTGCTGTTGAGTTGACTCCGACTCATGGTGACCCTGAAGGACAGAGTAGAACTGCTCCATAGGGTTTCCAAGGAGCACCTGGTGGATTCAAAATATCAACCTTTTGCTTAGCAGCTAATCTCTTAACCACAGCGCCATCAGGGCTCAGGCAAGCAAAGATGCCCCATAAATTTCCACAACACTCGAGCGGGCAGAACCACCGTGGTTGAGAACTGTTGCTTCAACACTGAAATACTTCCAAAATATTTGAAGACTGAGTCCACTTGCTGAATGTTAGTCTTTAAGTTGGCAAAGAAAAGGGTGGAGTGAACACAAATTCTGGCAGGGTCTTGCTGCTCTTGAACCCTCCTCACACTGACAGTGATCCAGCTCAAACTGCAAAGTCTAAACATACCATTCCCTCACTTATGTCTCTTCCTTGGCTCCTTTGCATGCCTAGAATGTGATAACCTCCATGTTTCTTGACATGGCACATGAGGTCCCTGTGATTAGGACCCTTCCTACTTCTCTGGGCTCTTCTCCAGATACTCTCCACCTCCTCCTGGATGCTCCTAGTACCAACCTGCTTGCAGCTGCCCGTTTATGACAGGTATTTCCTGCCTCTGTGTCTCTGTGCATACTGTCCCCTCAGTCTGCAGCATACTTGGCCACCTAATTTGGCCAGCTAAATCTTAGTTGTCCCTCAAGATACAACTCCTGGGTCATCTCTTTGGGAAAACATGTCTCCTAGGAAACTGATTCTGAACCATCAGACTGGACTAAGTACACCGAACCTCTATTGTTCCACAGTGCCCTGCAAACATCTTTCCACAAGAATCAGAGGCCATCTGTTCATCTATCAATCTACCACCAGATTATGAGCTCTTCAAGGGCATGGACCATATTTACTGATATTTGTATTTTCAGCAAGAATTTGTTTAATGCCACTTTGAGTATCACACACACCAGGCTTTTGCTGAAGCCCAGCCTATACAAGAAAACAAAAAATTCATTGGTTAGTTAGGATTGGATAACAGAGAGGGTCTAAATACCACTTTTCATTTTTTTCTGGTAGAAAAATATATTTACATAAATTTGAGAGATAACTTGTGATGTTTACTTTTAAATCACTCTAATACAATACTCTCTGAAATACTCAAGCAAAACGTACCATGGGAATCAGGAAAGCATGTGCAGAAGCATTCTAGGTTAAAAAAAAAAAAAAGGCTGCCTGTAAGTAGAAACCCGTATCAGATATGAAAACTTAACTTTTTGTTTAGTATATAATATATATTCCATTAATAAACATATGGCATTAGGTCTATAACATAACAAAATGAAGTCTAGAGCTTCCTTGTTCTCTCTGTATTATCAGTCTGAATCATTCATTCAACAAGTGTCTACTCTGAGTCAAGAACTGTTCTAAGAGCTGGTGATAGACCAGTGACCAAGACAGACAGTATCTCTAATTTCATGGAGCTTCAGTATATCATGAGGAACAAACATTCAATAGTAATATGATGCAATTAGAAATATATAATGGTATAATTAGAAAATTTTAAAATGTTATGATGGAAAAATTCATACAAAACTAGTAATTCAAGCATAAGAATTCAAGGATTTAAAAGCTATAATTCTATGTAATTGACATTGCTAGTTTATATATAATTCATATACATTCATATTATCTTAAATGCAGGCACACACACACACATATACATCACTCTAGCTCAGTGTATCCAATATACATTTTTTAAGTGAATTAAAATAATTGGTTCCAGTATAATTATTCAACAAGTGCCTAATATTTACCCCATAAATACTGAAGTTGTCAAGGATTTCGTTTTACTTAGATCCACAATCAACACCCATGGAAGCAGCACTCAAGAAATCAAACGACATATTGCATTGGGCAAATCTGCTGTAAAAGATCTCTTTAAAGTGTTGAAAAGCAAAGATGTCACCTTGAGGACTAGGGTGCGCCTGACCCAAGCCATGGTATTTTCAATAGCCTCATATGCATGAGAAAGCTGGACAATGAATAAAGAAGATCGAAGAAGAATTGATGCCTTTGAATTATGGTGTTCAAGAATATTGAATATACCATGGACTTCCAGAAGAACGAACAAATCTGTCTTGGATGAAGTACAGTCAGAATGCTCCTTAGAAGCAAGGATGGCGAGACTTGGTCTCATGTACTTTGGGCATGTTATCAGGAGAGACCAGTCACTAGAGAAGGACATCATGCTTCGTAAGGTAGAGGGTCAGCGAAAAAGCAGAAGACCCTCAATGAGATGAACTGATACAGTGGCTGCAACAATGAGCTCAAACACAGCAACAATTGTGAGGATGGTGCAGGGCCTGGCAGTGTTTCATTCTGTTGTATATAGGTTTGCTATGAGTCAGAACTGACTCGATGGCACCTAACAAAAAGCAACAACAACAATGATTGAACATTAGGGTTTGGCAACATGACAACTTAAAAATGTCTACCCAATAGCAAAATTAATCCAAAGGGAAAAAAAACAAACAAACCCAATCACATTATAAGCAGGCCTAATAACTGGTTCTTTTATAGAACTTAATTGACTTTTAATAAAATATTGAATTTAATTAAACTGATTTCTTATAGCCCACATATCCCTCAGGCTACTGAAATGTAATTCTCATTAACCAGAAATATATAAAGTGCTTTTTTAGAGTCAATAACTTTTCTCTTAAGGAAAGGAAATAAAACAGTACATTTTCTGTGACATAAAATTTTTCTCGTGTGGGTTTCAACATGCATTATCTATTTTCTCTACCTAAGTGCCTTTTTTTTACACTTAAATACTGAAAAATAGTTAACAATGGATACTAGAAGAAGGAATTATTAAATGAATTTTCTGATAAACAAATTGGTAAGCTGGACAATAAATAATATGAAAATCCATTTTTACAATCCTCGATGAAATAAAAAGCAGCTACTTAGAGTATCTACTATGCACTAGGCTTTTCCATATATATTCACAGGTGTGAATGGAGTTGGCATTTTTTAGCTGATCCTTATTCAGTGCATCATAAGGAAACACACTTCAGAAATGATTGGAAGCTATGATTTCATTATGTCAGCATTATAGTGATTTTTTCACTTGGAAGTCAAAATGATTCAAGACACTCTCCTCAACTTCAAAACACAAAGGGAAAGAAAAATACTCTTTTAAAAGTTTGAGTTAATAAGTTGGTTATTTAGAGACAAACAATTTTAGATATTAAAATTAGAGATAATTTTTTTCACACACAAACTCCAAGTATAACATGGTTCTATGGTACTAGTGGAGGTAGACTTGAGTTTAGATGACCTACGTATCCCACAGAAAAAAACAGTTTATTAGAGGGACTGAATCTTTACAAGTTAATTAGCATTCACTTGACACTAAAATCAGAAATATATCAAATAACATCTGATTTACTTACAGAACTTTAAGACTGTAAAGACCAGCAAATGCTCCCTTGGGAATGTGTGTCAAAGAGTTTCCGGCAAGACGTCTGTGGGGTTAGAGGGACAGGAGAGAGAATGAGCATAGATAGCTCTCTTAATGTGGAATTCATTTACTTACTAAAAAATGCAATACAATTATGTTCCAAGGCATCTAATTTAAAATGATGGTAGAATTGCCTAAGAAGAAATACAGTAAATCACCTTTTTACAATAAATCATTTAATGACTTATGCTGTACATACATAACTATCCTCCTAAAAAAAACATTTTAGACAAAAGCTGGAAACATATAGAAATCTTCAAGAAATGTAATGTCAAAATTGACCATCACATGATTTCTACAATTATTCTTTATAAGCGCAAATTTACACAATCAAGCAAAAGAATATTTCTGTTGCAATTATACCACAAAATACCCAACTTTCTTATTAAACTTGGCAAATAAGAATGCTATCACAATACATTTTTTAAAAACTCTGCCAGAAAAGGGTAGAGTAGCTTAATTAATTTAACATGTTTTCATTGAACAATGCCTTAAGAAATTAAGAACGGTATTTAAAAAGAATTTAATGTTGAAACCATTAACATGGGTTATTTAATGAAAAGGTTTGGCATCATTAGTTGGTAAGATTAAAAATGTTCACTTTATAATAGTTTTCTAAGGGCAGAAAGGTCAAGGTGAGAACATATGCAAAAAGACCAACAAGGTGTGGTACTGTAACAGCTGGTTTACTTTTCTGGTAGCCACATCAAAGCTATAATCTCATCTGTTAGATGGTACCACAAAACAGAAAACCCAAGAACAACAAAGTGACTCTGAAGAGCACAGAACTTTATAATGAGCTGATCATATCTTAGAATGGTGTGTAGGAATGGGGGCCAAGACATTCCAGTATTTTCTTGATGGAGGTGGGTGTTTGGGGATAAGGGTGGAGTTGGTCTATTTGGCTAGTGTTTATTCCTGGAAGGCCTAATGGACTCAAATTTGTATTTTGATATTATCTCCAAAACCTGTTGCTGTCAAGTTTATTCCGACTTATAGTGACCCTATAGGACACAGTAGAACTGCCCCAGAGGATCTCCAAGAAGTGGCTGGGGGATTCGAACTGCCAACCTTTTGGTCAGCAGCAGTAACTCTTAACCACTGCACCACCGGAGATATAATTCAGTTAAGGCTTCCAACTAGTTCATTCTGGTTAGAACCCTGCTGATAATTTGCATTTCTAACAAGTTTCCAGGCTATGCTAATACTGCTGATTAGGAACTTCTGAGAATGACTAGTAGAGCCAAAAAAAAAAAAAAAAAAAAAAGGCCAAAACCATTGCCTTCAAGCCATTTTTGACTGATAGTGACCCTATAGGACAGAGTAGAACTGCCCCATAGGGTTTTCAGGGAGTGGCTGGTTGATTCGAATTGCCGACCTTTTGGTTAGCAGCCAAGCTCTTACTCACTATGCCACCAGGGCTCAAGGGACTAGTAGAGCAGTGGTTCTCAAAATTCATAATACTTCAGAATCACCTGGGGATCTTGTTAAAATGTAGATTCTGATTCAGTATATTGGGGGTGGAAATGCAACTGGAACAAACTGGTTCGAAGCTCTGAATTCAGTCATAGAGATACACTGACAGGACTGCAATAAGGCATACATAATACAACTTTAAATCTGTGTCCCATTGCTAGTCCGCACCACTGATAATATACCACAAAAGACTCTTTTAAAATAAATACTGCAATTTGTGTGTATGTGTATTGTTGTTGTTAGCTGCTGTCGAGTTGGCCCTGACTTATGGCGACCCCATGCACAGCGGAACAAAACGCTATCCATAGGCTGTTGGAAGTAGATCACCAGGCCTTTCTTCTTACATCACTTTAGTTTGGAAGCTTTGCTGAAACTTGTTGAGCATCACAGCAACATGGAAGCCACCACCGACAGACAGATGGTGGCTATGCATGAGGTGCATTTGCTGGGAATCAAACCTGGATCTCCTGCATGGAAGATGAGAGTTCTATCACTGAACCACCACTGCCCCCATGTATGTGTATTAAAAGCATTATTTGCCCAATCCAAATTAAATTTAATTAAAATTAAAATATACTACAATTTTTGTAATTCTGCCTTTTTTTTTTTTTTAATCTTAAAATATTATAAGATGAGACTTGAACCACTCCAAAAGGCTCTGCTTGCCTTGGGTCTGCCACTAATTTGCTGCATGCCATTAAGAAAGTTACTAGACATTTCTGAGCTTCTTTTTCTCACTTATTACATCAAATGGTTAATATCAGATGGCTTCTCAGATCCCTTCCAGCTCCAGAACTCCATGCTTTTCCTCCCTTGTCTTGCGGTTATCTGTATTTGTGTCTGTTTTCCTTCCCTTAACAGATATAATCTTTTTAAAGACTGGGATAAACTCTTGTACTGTACTCCTGCCTTCCTCATGGAGCCTAAAGCAGTGTTTTCAAACTATAAATAAATTCAGTGACTCTGAATAGAATTAAGAAGGAAAAAAAAAAAAAAGCAGAAAAATAGAGGAATTTGTTGGCTGCAGAATTACTTTCATGAAACTTTTATTTCCTAATATATTTGCATAGGAAAAAACAATGCATTTCTTCCTGTCCATGGTAAAGAAAGTTTGAAAACCACTAGCCTAAAGCATAGTGAGCATTCAATAAAGGTTAACAACATGCATTCCAGTTTAATAACTGACCAGGGTGATTTTAGAGATGTTTTATTTCCTGCAAAGTTCTCTTACCAGAAAATCCTCTTTAGATTGTCACACTGGCCTTCTATCTGGTCTCCCCACATTCAGTCTCTCCCTATTCTCATTCATTCTTTAGTCATTGCCAGTTTTCTGAAAGCCAGCTCTGATGGTATCACTTTCATGTTCTAAACCTTCCATCAGTTCCCATGCCAGGAGAACGAAAAAAGTCCTCCGTCTCTTCTCCCATAATTCCCTGGTTTGCACTTTATGCTCTAGCTAAACCAGACCGTGATGCTGCTTTTAGACATGTCCTCCACTTTTTCACTTCTGGCCCTTTGCTCCATCTAAAAATGTTCTCCTTCCACTCCTCTCTCCTTTCTTGTACCTCAAAGTCATTTCATTTTTGAGCCTTCCAAATTAATGAGTAATCTCTCTACTTAAGACCACTTTGATAGCACTTTATACTTCTCGTATGGATTTTATAGTTTACCTTGTGTTATAGTGTATAGCATCACTATGAGTCGGAATCGAATCAATGGCAACGGGTTTTGTGTTATAGCATGTACCTGCTCTATTACACATAAAAGATGAGAGACACCTTGAACCTGGGGATCCCCTTTGTATCCACATACAGGGCCTCTCATAGTGTCTGAAACGTGGTAGGTTGCCCCAATGAAAAACAAAAAACTAAACCAGTTGCTGTCGAGTCAGTTCTGAGTCATGGTGACCCCATGTGTATCAGAGTAGAACTGTGCTCTGCAGGGTTTTCAATGGCTGATTTTCTGGAAGAATATCACCAGGCCTTTTTTCTGAGGTGCCTCTGGGTGAAGTTGAACTGCCAACCTTATGGTTACCCCAATACTGCTCCATTAATCATTTTAGTAAAGGCTACTAACCCTTCCCTCAGTATCCATTCTGCTCTTCATCTTTGGTAATGTTTGCCAAAGCAACCTTACGTCATGTTAATGGAACAACTGTTTTCCCTTCCATGGAAGAAAAAGATATGTTTCATAATACGCCCCAAGAAATTGCTATTTTCAAAGACTATCCATTCCCCAATAAGTTAAGCATATACAACTGGTCAAATCTAGCCTCAAACCTTCTTTTCATAAACTGTATTCATGGAGCTGGGCATTTTGTTTCCATCATTAGGTAAGATTAAAAAAAATCAGATTTCAGGAAGGGCTAAGACCACTGGGCTTAGTAAAAAACTCCTCAGATCAACAGAGCAATCCTTTATTGGGCATAGGGCCCTATGATTTCTTTAACCACAGACTAATTAAATGCAATTTTTAACTCCTTTGTGAAGTCTTCCTTAATTACCTCAGTCCAGTCAGCTCTCCTATACGATATGTTCTATACAATGCCGCCTATTCCAAGATGGCTGGCTACTCCTTACATAACCAGATCAGAAACAGTTGTAGAGTATTCCTTCCTCATTATGCATCAAATTTAAATTCAACAGAATTTCCTTAAGCACTTTCAATATGCCATGGACAGCGCTTTTGGGCATACAAATAGTAGCTACCTTTTTTTTCAGATTGTACTTTAGATGAAGGTTTACAGAGCAAACTAGTTTCTCATTAAACAATTAATACACATATTGCTTTGTAACGTTGTTGCCAACCCCACGATATGTCAACACTCTCCCCTTCTAAACCTTGAGTTCCCCATTACCAGCTTTCCTATCCCTTCCTGCCTTCTCTTCCTTGTCCCTGGGCTAGTGAGCCCATTTAGTGTTGTTTTGTTTTGTGGCCCTGTCTAATCTTTGGCTGAATGGTGAACCTCAGGAGTGACTTCATTACTGAGCTAAAACAGTGTCCAGAGGCCATACTCTTGGGTTTCTCCAGTCTCTGTCAGCCCAGTAAGACTAGTCTTTTTTTTGTGAACTAGAATTTTGTTCTACATTTTTCTTCAGCTCTGCCTGGGACCCTCTATTGTGATCCCTGTCAGAGCAGTCACTGCTGGTAGCAGGCACCGTCTAGTTGTGCTGGACTCAGTCTGGTGGAGGCTGTGGCAGCTGTGGTCCCTTAGTCCTTTGGGCTAATCTGTCCCTTTTTTTTTTTTTCAACTTTTTTTTTTATTATACTTTAGGTGAAGGTTCTTCATTAAACAGTCAGTACACATATTGTTTTATGACATTGGTTAACAACCCCATGACATGTTAACCCTCTCCCTTCTTGACATTTTTTTTTTTTTGGTGAAAATATACATAGCCAAAGATACACCATTTCAAAAATTTCTACATGCACAATTCAACAACATCGATTACATTCTTCCAGTTGTGCTGCTATTCTCACTTTAGATGAAAGTTTACAGAACAAAGTTTCTCATTACACAGTACACAT